GTTATTTAGGGTTTGGGCTTCATGGGGGCCTGTGCAACAGGCCCGCTCACCAACCAAGGCCACAAAAACACAGTCAGGCCCCATGGAAACCTGTGGATCCCCCTAAACCACAGCACCTCCAGCTGATACCAGCACAGCCCTGCAAGGTCAAGACCTAAGACCAGAGAAGAGTCCTTTCGGTCACACGGCCCCGAAGCTCACTGCTCTGAGCCACACCGACACCGAACCAGCGTCGGGACACTACGGCTGAAATACTGCCAACCACCACGGGAGAGAGAGAGGAACAAACTGGAGTGCCGTCGGGCCCCAGTCAGAACCAGCCGTCCACGACACGACACACGGACAGGTCCTGGTCAAGCCCAGCTCCCCAGTCAGAGAAACACTCCTCCCAGCCTGTGTGCAGTACACCTGTGTGTGTTCATCCTGTTACACCGAGACACACTCTCCAGTCAGAGAAACACTCCTCCCAGCACGAACATGTAGGCCACGAGGGTTTCTGGATTTGAGTGTTAGTCATTTGAATATTAACAGCTATATAATTTTCATTATAGAAAACATAACTACAATTGAAATATTAAAATTAAGTAATTATCTTTAATATAAAAAACTCAACCCAGACGTTTGAGTAATAATATGAAGAAGAAGAATTAAATGTAAAACATTATTATTAAAAAAGTATTGGTAGTATTATTAAATCTATTATATCACTATGATGATGATGATGATGATGATGATGAGCGAGAGCGGGACAGGAATCTGTACGATACGAGACTAGGTGAGGTCTCTGTGTCGTATCACGGCAGGGCAGGAGAGAAAGGAAGAGCTATGTAGGACTCGGGAGATAAACGAGTGTGTTTAAAGGTTTTACAGTAATCACACAGGTCTGGGTGTGCAGCACAAGTGTAAAGAAGAGAAATATACTGTGATACTGTGAGGAAGCGGAGCCCGCCTCTGTGGGACCAGCTGCACCCGCGACAAGACCAGCACCGGGCCGGTCCGGCCCGTCCCGACAGAGTTCGTCGCCGCAACTCTGACGAGACTCTTGTGCCTCATCACCTCCGGCTCCCCCGGGTCAGGGCGGACCGACACCGGGTCGGCAGTTTGAGCGCCAAGAGGCCTCCGACCTTTCAATGGGTCTGGCTCGGCTGCCACGTGTGTGATGCTCGTGTCGGGTTTCTACGGTGCGCGCAGAGCCTACACGTTCAGCGGCGGCGCTCGAGCTCAGCCCGCCCTCCCTCTCCAGTCCCGTCTCGAGCTCAACTTTACCGCGCGCCGCTCGGGCAAAACGCAAGCGTTCAGCTCGGGACACTCACAACACGCAATATTACACTACAAACTTACACTAAAGTTCAGAATAACCACTCACGTGGAAAGATCCCGCACTTCGAAAGGCGTCTTCAGGTGGGGGAAAAATGAAAAACGTGTCTGTTCCCTCACTTGTTTTATTAATATAGAGAGGCAGAAGTCTTCCCCGTTCTTGCTCTCCTTGGCTAAACAGGTAAAAACGTACGATATGATATGATCGGTTACTATATAAACAACCACGCGTTTCCTTTCTGCAACAGGCTCGTCCAGTTTTCAGTTAAAGACTCCACTACCACACTCTTAAGTTTGTCTCCTCCCTCTTTTTCGTTCGCTGTCTATACAAGGCTCCCAATTTTACAGTCCTCCTCCCCCCTCACAGACCCTCTCTCTCGCTCAGTCACTCACACGCCTCATGTCATGAGGAGTGTATTTAAACGTCAATGAGAGCACTGTTGTGCCA